GGGGATCAAATAGTTTGGTGGTTATGAACAAGGGCTATGGAGTCAAACAGACATAGGCTAAACTCCTGGCTGTGACATCAGTTCTAGCTGTGTGACCTTGGGACTTAAAACCCAAGTGTTCTCATTGGTAAAAATAGGTTTTTGACAATTAAATGAGATCGTGCATATTAAACACTTCACACATAAAAGCTCAAGGAATATCAGCAACCATCACTAAAAATCAACATTATCAGGTCCATATTCCCTTTCTTCCTAGAATATTTTCCAAGTTTAGAAATATTGATAGCGAACAACAGCTCTTTTTTTTTTTTCCCCCCTGCAGTGCTGGAAATTGAACCCAGGGCTTCACTCCCACTAGGCACTAGGCAAGCTTCTATTACTGAGCTACATTCCCAGCCAAAGTATTTTTGTATATTACTTTTGCATCTTCAATCTCACTCTACCTACTGTAAACTATACTCAGCCTACAGATAAGTTTGTGCTTTCAAATACTGAGAAAACTTTCTCTGAATGTTAGACCTCTCTTTTTCCTTTATCACAGTCCATATTCAGAAAGTCTACCATCTCATCTCTTTTCTTCCTTCCAAGACTCTTATATTGTTAGTTTTTATTACAAGAGTAGTAGTATATTTGTATTGAAGAAAGTTAGAAAACAAAAACAATTTCAGGAAAGAAAATAAAAGTATCACATTTTGATCTTCAGAAATCTCCACCATGAAAACTTTTGTGTATACCCTTCAACTCTTTTTCTTGCATGTATATTATGTGTATTTATTTTGCCAAAATGAGCTTATTACTCTGTAAACTTTTTTTAATCATTTTGCTTTCTCTTTTCTTCATACTATGGTCATGTTCAGATTTCTAGTTGCCTAAACAATATCATCTATAGATGGTTTCTCCAAACCAGTATCTAATATGTAGCATCTGGTTGTTAAGTCCATTTTGGAAGTCATGATGATAGTTGGTAGTTGGTTAGTTGTTTATTGTTGTGTCTGTGTTTTTTCTAACTCATTTGTTAAAGTGACTAGATCAATTGTCCCAAATATCCTACCTTTTGAATTTGGTTGTTTTCTTGCTTATATATTGTGTATATAATCAACTAGAAATTCTAAAAACTTAGTGGATTCACTTTAAACATTTTTGGGTAGAATATTATAGGTAGTGTGCATTTCTTATGCTTCACATCAAAAAACATATAATGTATAGTTGATTCACTGTTAATAATACTAAAATCAATCCCTGTATTAGAGGTCTGTAATCTCTACTCTGATTCTGATCTATTTACAAATTGAATTTCCCCCTTGCAACCAAAATTAATCTTTGTGGTATTATTTAAGCATGTGTTCTAATTACTATTGCTATGTCACAGGTGACCCCAACCATAGAAAAAAATGTTGTATTATTGTACTTATGGATTTACTTCTGTAGGTCAGGACCCAATAGCATATGCTTTGTTCTGCGTTGTCTGAGGCCTCAGCTGGGAAGACTTGAACTGAGGGTATTTCAAAATAGCTAGAGGCGGAGATCATCTGAAGCCTTTTTTGTTGTTGTTGTTGTTGTTATTTTTTGGTTTTGTTTTGTTGTTTTGTGCTGAGGATTGAATCCAGGGCCTTATGCATACTAAATAAGGCCTCATGCATGCTAAGTAAGGCCTCTGCCACCACTGAGCTATATCCCCGGTTGTGAAGCCTTCTTCATTTTCATGTCTAGTTCTTAGGACAGGATAACCCAAAGTGAAACTTGTCTGGGACTGTTGAATAGAGCCCATACATCTTGAGCTTAAGAGACAGCTGGCTCCCAGAGAATGTACACAATGCAAGAATTTCAAGACAACTAGGTAGATGGGTATGGCCTTTTCTGACCTTGGAATCACCTGCAGCTCTTCCACATTTTATTGATTATATACAAGTCACTAAAGCTAGCCAAAAGAAATTAAAATTTACCTCTTATCGAGGGGATGGCAAGATCATACTTTAGAAGAGTGTGTAGGAGGAGAGATTCTTTCAGGACATCTTTGGAATATATAGTCTGCCACAGCATAATTTGATTATCCAGTTCCCCACCAGACATTTACCTAAAAGATTTTTTTGAGGGGTGGGGGGGGGGGTTGCCAGGGGTTGACTCAGGGGCACTCAACCACTGAGCCACATCCCCAGCCCTATTTTGTTTTTATTTACAGACAGGGTCTCACTGAGTTGCTTAGCGCCTTGCCATTGCTGAGCTGGCTTTGAATTTGTGATCTTCCTGCCTCAGCATCCTGAGCCAAGCCCCTGGGATTATAGGCTGCACCACCAAGCCCAGCTTACCTAAGAGTTTTAATAACAGTTGACAACATTGCCATAATCATTTATTATGATTTGAAAAGTGATTTTTAGATAATTTTTTCAATAGCTGCCTCAAATGATAACAAAAAGCATTTTTATATCCTTCTAATTTTTTAATATCCTATTGGACTCAAACTTTTCATTGATTCAATTCAATATAATCATTGTTCTTTTTAATACTGAAATCATTCCATTTAGTCCACTGAGAACTTCAGAGCTCATTCCTGGGTCCACTTGACAGCTCCAGTAATCTACCATCATTAATTTTGACAACCCTCTTGATTTCTAGATGATCTCAAAATTTGTAAAACAATCTCCTATATTTGAGTCTATCCATTTGGTTTCTACCCCTCCCTAATGATATTGTTTACCAGGTATAATTGCCCTTTTTAAATTTTCAGACATTAATCTCTAACATTTGTTGCAGTTGATTACTCTCTTTTTCTTGAAAACCTGCTTTTATTCTCCTGATACAGTGTTCTATTTCTTTGTTTCTGCCCTTTTCCTCTTATCCAAGTATAATTGTTGCCATATTTTACTCAGTGGTCCTCCTTTTTCCCTGTGGTACCTCTTCAGGTGCTTCTAAATATTCCTGTAATGTCATCCATCAGCTCTGTAATCCTACTTTGACCCCGCATTCTAGTATCAGTTTTATTCCCCAACTACTTACTAACATCTTTACACAAATGTCTTGCCAGTTCCTCGAACCCAGTCTGTTTTACCCTCCCTTCCTCTCTTTCCATTCTTGTAGTTCCTTTTAGTCTTTCTATTATTAGTTCCATAGTTCTAAGTTGCCCAACCTTAAAACTTTTGAGTCTTTTTTTTTTCTTCCTCCATATTTAATCTGTTACCAAGAATTGGTACATTTACCGGTTCTGGCTCTAATACATTTCTTACACTTCTTTCTTTTTATTCCCATTGCCACGTCCTCTTCCTGAATCTCATTATAGCTTTCTTAGATTCTAACACAAGCCTTTTAACTAGCATCTTTCCAGTCCCTCTGTACCATCCTATCTTTTGCACTACTGCCAGATTAATCTTTCTCAAACAAACCTCTGGTTGTTCATTCCCCTAGATTAAAAAGAAAAGACATACATATTAAAAACAAAAACAAAAAAACTCAAACCTTTATAAAACACACACACACACACACACACCTTTAGTGATCCCTGCTGCCTTAGAATGAAATTAAAGCACTTTTTCTCCTGAGCTTCACTGCAAGCTCTAAGACTTACACTTTGAGATCTGCTGTAAATCCCTGCTATACCAGGCATCTACAACACTTATCCCGCTTTATTTTTCTTGTCTTAATTTTCTATCACTATTTTTCTTATGCTCAGGAAAATTAGATTGTGTTCTTTCCCCCAAATATATTTTCTTTCTTTTATGTCTTTGTATTGTTCCTGCCTCCTGCACTGATGCCACCTAACCAGCAACTCCCATCTCAAACCATTCTAAATCCTACTCATTCTTTAAGCCCAACTCAAAGACCAATATATTCTGTTTGCTCCTTAGCCAAAAATGTTCTTTCTTTCTTCTGAACCCTTGCAGCATTTTGGTCATACCTCTTTACTATGGCTATTCTATATTTTCCTCTATATTATAAGATTTTTGAGAGTATAAATAGTAAGTTTCATGCTTGAAATTTTTATAACACCTAGCATGGTAGCAAGGGATGTACTATAGACCAGAAATACAAAAATAAATCAGATATAGCTCCTGCCTTCAAGTAGCTCAATTCTACTGGGAAGAAAGTCTCTCTTCAGAGTTGTGGTATAATTTGATAAGTATTGTTTTAAAAAAGTATTAACACATGCACATACATAGACATACATACACACACACACACACACACACACACACACACACACTACTATAATTACATAGAGAATAGATCACTTTATTCCACCAGTGGGATCCAAAATAGGATAGTCAGGATAAGTTTGATGGGTTTGAACTGAGTCTTGAAGGATGAGTTAGGAGTTAAATAATATGAGAGAAACATAGTCCAGAAAGAGGAAATGACATTCAAAGCCACAGTACATGAAACTACATGATATGAGCAATTTTGTATGAATAGATGTGAGGTTTTGTGGAGGTTAGGAGATGTTAAAGGAAGATAAATTGCAAAGAGGTATTAGGTTATTGTAGTTTTTGTTTTATCATAATAATGCCTTATTTTATATGCTCTCGATTTTATAACGCAAATTGATTATTTGCAATTCATAATAATCCCTTTTTAGAAGGCAGCATCTTAGTTATTTAATGAAAGAAGCAGACAGTGCTCTGTGACTCTATTAGAAAATAACAAGTTAAATTCTGTTCTTAGAAAATAGAGTATTAATTGAAATTTTGTTCTTAGTATTGTAAATTTCTTCTTTAAGCCTAATTCTTTTATTAACAGTTCCTGGCATTTCCTCAGTAATATGTATTGTCAAACAGTCCTTAGTTTGAATTTTTAATGTATATTTTAATAATAATTGGTAAACGTTTTTTAAAAATCTGATTTTAGGATGGCTTTTTAAAATGGTGTGACATCCAACTGATATAGAGCATCCTATTTATAATGTGGGCCAAGCACCATGCTGTAAACCAGTTACTATCATGATGATCAGATTGAAAATGAAATTGCATTTCTGTCAATTACTGAGTTGGCAACTGTTCAATATATCTTAGCAGCAAGATGAAGAGCGACGTCGGCAGCTGAGAGAGAGAGCTCGTCAGCTAATAGCAGAAGCTCGATCTGGAGTGAAGATGTCAGAACTTCCTAGCTATGGTGAAATGGCTGCAGAAAAGTTGAAAGAAAGGTCAAAGGCATCTGGAGGTGAGTTAAAGAATCTTGTATCATATTCTACAGACAACCCAGAAATCTGCAGTGGACCTTTTAGGACTTTTTATTCTTACTTTAAAATATTGCATCAAAAACAGAGTTTCTAAAATATTGATATGTTGCAAAAAACCTACAGGAAATGTAGTAAATCAGAAGATAACTGTTGCTATTTCCAAAACAACCTTTTCACTTTATGGTTTACTACTATTAAAAGAATATTTCTTGAGTTGTGATACTCCATGATACCTCATGAATTGCATAAGAAGTAAGTAAAATGCAATCAAATCCTCAATATCTAGATCATTAAGACTTGTTAGTGGTGAGCTTTGACATAAAAGACTTTAACTTTGTGGGCTGGGGTTGTGGCTCAGCAGTAGAGTGCTCACCTCACACATGTAAGGCCCTGGGTTCGATCCTCAGAACCACATAAAAATAAATAAAATATGTTAAAAGAAAAAAAATCCTCTTTAAAAAATAAAATGCTTTAACTTTGGTTTGATGCTGTGGATTGAACCTAGGGCCCCAAGATTTACACTTAAAACAAGATCTTTTAAAAGTAGTTTTCATAATACTATGGCATTGTAGCCTAGGATGTAAAATTTTTGAATAAATTCCATATCCATTTCCTTTTAGTCTCCTTACTCTGAAAGAGTCTTCCTCAATATTTATAGAGATTATTCTAAGCTTAATTTTGGGACAAGGACTATATAAAGAGAAATTTAATTTTACCTTTCAGAGTTCAATTTGATCATTTTTAATTTGTAAATTTTTACATTTAGGAAACCTATGGGCTTTTTATTTCAAAGGTACATAACCTATTTATCTACCAAAACATGCTAGGTACTTGTCCTGAATTAATCTTAGAATGTTAAGATTACCCTGAAGAGCAGGCAAGTGAGGACTCGAATAAGACCTTAGAGAGCTGAAACAAAGGTAAGCTATTTCTAGGCCAATCATAAGTTTTTTCAAAGTAAACTGGAACTTACTGCTGTTATTTCAAATTGAATCCTTATATTAAAAGCTTACTGTTGTAGAGAATTCTAACTAATGCCTATGGCATCTAGCCTTCCAGTCCATAAATTTGAAAGTTTTCTTCTCCCAAGCACTTGTATATCTGTCCTTGTGGACATCTAAGAACATGGATATCTTGGTTAAATCCTTCGTCTTACATTTTCAACTCCTATTATTCAGGACTGTTATTGTATCTTCTTTTTTTCTTTCTTTCTAGGTAATCACTATACCACTAACTACATCCTGGCGCTATCGTTACAGTTTCTCCACTCTACTAGAGTTTATAATGATGTCAATAACTGCTCTTATAATGCTATAATAATTTGCTTAGATTTATTATCATTATTTTTTTTAGTTTTTTTAGATTTATTATTAATAGCAAGGTATTTCTTTTATCATAAGAATTCCAGATATTCAAAGTAACCGTTAGAAACATTTGCTTTCTTATATCTCTGAATGATGGAAAAATCTCTCATTCTTTATCCTCCAGATACACTATCCTAATGCTGCTGTAAATACCACATTCCTATGTCATCATAAAGCCAGGTATGAGAATAGTAATAGTAGGATGGAGAGGGATCCAATGTCATTTGGCAGTTAACAATGCCAAATGAATATAAACTCTAGGAAGGCTAAGAATTAAAAAATTGTAATTAATAGTGTGGCATAGGTTAGCTATGTAGTTGGTCCTATTTTTATAATACAACCCCAGATGAGGGTATGCCAAGACTAGACTAAGCAAAGAGACTTTGTCAGTGTTATAACCCAAAAAAATCTTCCCTTCAATGAAGAAAGCAATGACCTGAATTTGGCATTATTCAACAGTCAAGGTAAATAAAATAAACAAAGTAAATAAATGAGGATTGGATCAGTAGAGTTCGCAAGGAAGTACAGATTAGAATAGGAACAGTCAGGTGAAATAAAAAGGAGGCAGGATTTGACAGATAATTTATGAGAATATGCTGAAGAGTTAGCTTCCTTATTGCCTAAGGAGTCCAAAGTGACCAAAGTCCATTTCTCCCATAGGACACAGCTTGCCTTGGACATTAGAAACAGCCATGTATCAGATAGTAGTCTTTTTTTTTTCCCCCAGTACATTTCAATAACTGAGGGCCTTGTGCAAAATAAGCAAGTCCTCTACCACTGCGGTATATCCCAGCCCCTTTTTTAAATTTTATTTTGAGATATAGGGTATTGCTAAGTTGCCCAGGCTAGTCTGGAACTCGAACTTCTCTGCCTCCATCTCCAGTGATGGTAGACTTTTAATGAGAACTGAGGTTGACTGACCTAAGACAAGTGGAGCAGGTCTATTCCCCAACCTCAGTGGTATGTTTTAGCCTGTATCGTTAAGTAATATGGATCAGATTATGTCTGCATTGGCCTCAAAGTCTAAGCTAAAGCTATTGAGACTATCAGTACAAGAGAGACCTTTAGGACAAGGGGAAGGGTAAAAGTCCCACCTGAAGTTCAGCCATTCATAATATGTATTTATCTATCAAGCAGTACCAGCCACCGTGTCAGGATTTGTAGGCCATATGGTCTCTGTCCTAACTACTCAACTCTGCCCTTATAGCCTGAAAGCAGCCTTAAACAATATTTTAATGCATGGGCGTGGGCTGTTATTTACCCCCTCAAGGCAGGGGCTGGATTTTGCCTCTGACCTGTAATTTATGCACCTTTACCTAGCAAATTCAGAATTCACTTGGATTCACAAGAATCCGGTTCCTAAGTGAAAATAACCCTAGTCAGTTTAATAAGTCAAGGAAAAGAATAACTAATCTGAATCATTATGTCTGACAAGAATTTTGCTAAGTTATAATGTGAAAGGAAGAAAGAGAAATAATTTGAGACCAGCCTGGGTGAAGTATGAGGGTAGGAAGATTTTAGTACTAGTGGTCTAGAGTGACAAAGAGCAGAGTAGAGTGAAGACCTGACATAATTAGATGGATGCACACCCTGGGAACGTGATCAGCACTCACACCCACTGCTTGAACTCACTTGAAAAAGTTCTCTTTTTTCTATTCTCAAACAGCATGCTGCCAGCCTCAGTGCAAAAAGTTTTGAGTTTTGAGATAAGTTGTCTTTAACTTCATGATGTCCGCAGAAAATATATGCAAGATATTTACAGATGTATAGCCATGTGATCAAGCAACCCACTTACATTCTGTTACAACCAGAAATAGTCTAATTCTTGTGTAAATAACAGAACTGTACTTTTCCTGGATTCTGTACCCTAGCTTTTACTAATCTTTCATTTGACATCCTTCTCGGGCTTATGGAGAATCAGGTACTTGTGATGTACTGCACATGGTTTTTTCAGCATCATTTTGTAGTTATATGCCTATAATGGCCTCATTTGAAAAATTCTCAATCTATGTAACAAACTTTGGGTCCATTTTATTGCATCTTACTTGTAAGGAAAAGGTGTTTGGGGACAAAGTTAAGTGTTTTTATTTTTAGTTGAATGATAATGTGGCCAGAGAATGTGCCCTGAATTTCTGCTTTACGAATTTATCAAGATTTCATCTTGGCCAAATAAATGTTAAATTTTTTTTAATGGTTCATAAATACTTTTGCAAGAAAGGTACCTACCTTGTTTTAAGATTATATTATACTCATATATTGTGTATTATAATGTATATTTGTGTACTATATTTTTTATATATGTGTTCCATAGTTTACAGCTTTAGTTTGAGTTAGGTTAATATAGTTTAAATTTAAACTGACGTTTTTACCTCTCTTTGGCTCAGATATGATAGTGTTGTGGTTTTAAATTTCAAATAAATAAGGCAAATACTTTTTTGTTGTGTCAATGAAAATGTCTGTGTGCCTACATGGTTCTTATCATTTTCAGTTATGGAAAATAGATTTATCTAAATTTGTTGAAATAAAATCTTAAGAGCCTTCACTAATTTTTACTTTCAGCTTTTATCAATAGTGTAATATTTGTATTGTGTTTTCTATCTTTTGTTTGATTTCTTTAGAATTAAAAGTTGTGTTTTTAGCCAAATAGAGTGTTGCACACCTATAATTCCAGCTACTCAGGAGGCTGAGGCAGGAGGATTGTAAGTTGGAGGATGATCTGTGCAACTTTAATGAGACCCTATCTCAAAATAAAATAAAAAGAACTGAGCATGTAGCTCAGTGGTAGAGCTCTTACCTGACTTGCATGAGGCCCTGGGTTCAGTGCCAAGTACTATGGGGGAAAAAAGTTGTGAACTTAATGGGGATATTTGCTGAGAATATAAAAATCATAACAATTTTTATCTGAATATGTTTTTTTAATTTTTCTGAATATATTTTAAATGATAACCTCAGTTTCCTTTTTAGCATTGCAGATATTCTTTTCATTTTTGTCACCAAATCATTATTTCATTCAATTTTTCCATAAAGGAAAAGTATACAATTGACCTTATTTCAGTGCTATTAATCACACTTTTGAGATCCATATTTTGCCTATATTGTGTAGTGTATTCTGGAATACATTTTTCACATTTCAATGCATATGTAATATTCTTTTACCTTTTCTTATGCATATATTATATATGATACTTGCAAAACAGCTTTAGCTATAGAATAAATCTCTAGTTTACTTTCTGCCTGGCTCAACTACTGGGTTTGAAATGGTTAGTCATAAAGATGTGTATCTCTGTGTCTGTAGTATGTTTAAACATACACTTGCACATGTACTTTAGTTCTGCTAGAATGCATTTAGAACATTTCTATAGTTGTTAGGAAATTGTAATATTAACTGCTAAAAAAAAGTTCAAAGTTCATCGTAAAACTGAAGTTACCAAATGGAAAGAAAGAAGAAATTCATTCTTAAGAATACCTAAACTGTATAAGAGACCAGTTTTTACTCTTGCCCTCCCAAGAAGTAATCCTTTTATCTAAGGTTAGCAATACATATGTAAACTTTGAATTAACTTACTTAGCACTACTGTGAGTGGTAGTGTAGATAGAGGTTTCATTTAACCTGGAAATAAAATGAAATTGCATGTGTTTAACATGCAGGAACTTGGCTCCATGTAAGTGGATAATGAAAGGAGGCACAATTTTCTACATATTCCTGGAACCTGAAAGTACACATATCCAAACTTAACTATTTCTTTTCATAGCAATGCTAACATTCTAATCACTCAGGCTGAAAATTGTGATGTCTGTTCAACATCCCTTCTCTACAATCCAGTATTTAGATGATTTTCAAATCATGTCATATCTACTCCCAATTCTTTTATTCTAGGTTTAACTCTCCATACTGCTTGCCTGAAGTTATAACAGTTTCCAGCCTGGATTTCCTGCCTCTAGCCTTTTTGTTCTCCAGTCCACACATAGGTCAGCAATGTTACATGAAGGGTGATGTCACATGAATAGTTTACTCCCCCTGAACAATTTTTAAACCACTTTTTTCTCTCACTGAAGAAAGCATATAAGGGCTGAGGTTGTGGCTCAAAGAAAGAGTGCTTGCCTACCATGTGTGAGGCACTGGTTTTGAGCCTCAACACCACATGAAAATAAAATAAAGGTATTGTGTCCACCTACAACTTAAAAAAAAAAAGTGTTAAAAAATGTTTTTAAAAAATGGGTCCCATCCCTATTTAAAAAAAAAATGAAGAAAAAGAAGGCGGTACATGAGAATATAAGCAAGAATGATATAGGAAAAATATTAAAAACAACTTCTAATTTATAAAAGGCACTCCAGTGATTACATTACTATTAATAAATTATACATATTTCACAAATGGTTACAATGAGAAACTTTGTTTGAAAGCTACTTAATCTTCTAAAGCACAGTGCTGATCGTGTTAGAACACCAGTGTATCTACCAAATAAAATTTAAACTTCCCATTCAGCCCTTCTGGGCTCTCTACAATTTTACCTCCTATTATTTCCCTTTAAGTGTGCTTGAGCCAAATAGACTCTACCCCTTCCTGTTTTCATGCCTGTAATGCTGTCCCTTCAGTTATACCTCTTGAAATTCTATATTTTTCTCAAGATCTAATTTTAATTTAAGAGTTAGTGCTTCTGAGAAATTCCGTAGTGTCACTGGCAAAGAGTTATCTTTTGAATTTGCTCCATACCTTATTGTCACCCCATAACACCCATACTGTGTGGCATTATAATCATTTCATTGTATTCCTTTCAGAACTTGGTATCTCAACATCCAGCATAGTGTTTTGCAAATTGTATATACAGAGCACAGTAGAAGTTTCTTGAATAAGTGATGAATGCATGTTGAATTTCGTACTTTTGCTCTAGATTAATTATGGTTAGTAATCAGTGGAAGCTGATTGACAACAATCAAGTGTTATGCACTACCTAGATCCTGAAAAATTATTAATAGTAAATTGCTTCTGACATAGAGTAATGCTGAAGAAGCATTTTGAACACCATTTTAGCACTCAGGAAATGTTTTTTAATTCATTTGCTAAACTATAAAATTAAAGAATTTTTTAGAACAGTGAGATTGAAGATGCTCACTTTTATGAAAGTGAGCACAACTAATTGTGCTAAGCATAGTTTATCAGAAAAGATACCTAAGCTGATTATACTTATATAACATAGCCAGATATAATGCCTTAATTATGTCTTTGAAAGCATTTACCAATGTTTTCATCTCTATGGTTTTTTTCCCTCTGGGAAAATGATTTCTCAATCATTTTTCTTTGTTATTGTCTCTTTCTAAATGGCTTACACATTAGATGGGAAGTCTGCAATAAATGTTAACTATTATTAGCAATATTAATATTCTTAGTAAATATTTATTTGGGAATCCAAAGTCACATATAAAGATGTACATTTCAGAAAGGATTAAAGTTGGGGGATTAAACCAAAACTATGAAATTTTGGAATTTCTCAATTTGAAAAAAAAATCTTTGGAATATCTTATTAATAAAAATTACCCAATTTAAAAAATATGATGCAGAGTATTAGGGGAATTCTTCACCTCCCAGGGCTAGACAGCCATTTCTTCAGAAACTCCATTTCCTGTCAACAACAGAATTTAAAGTTAAACTTCTAATATGTAAATCAGATCATTACTATGCCTTTTCAAATGTATAGAATTCAAAATTAACCAATTTTATCATTAGGATTTGGAGAGAAAAGATAAATAGTAGGAACTCATAATGTTAAAAAATGACTTTGTTGGATTGGGATTGTGGCTCAGAGGTAGAGCACTCGCCTAGCACGTGTAAGTGAGGCACTATATTCCATCCTGAACACCACATATTGTATCCACCTATAACTAAAAAATAAATGTTTTTTTAAAAATGACTTTGTTAATTATGACCTAAAATATTTTAGTAAGGATATAAAACAATAGTGGAAGACTTCCTCATTCATTTGTGCTCAGTTTTGAAAAATAGTTTTTCTCAATTTTTACTCTTCCAAGATGTATTGCCTTCGTTGTTTTTGAACCTTCCATTGTGTAAAGGCACTGTATTCTGGTTTTACCCTTTATTCATATTGCTTCTTTATGACAGTATTCATTAGTACAAAATCAGTCAAATCTTCATAAAATGGCTTAAATATAGCTACAAGTTTATAAGAAATAATGTCTTGATGCATCGATAGCAAATAAATGATTAAAAATGAAATTTAGAAATACTGTTTGATGACTTCTTCATCAGATCAACTTATTTTTGTGTGCTATTATGAGAGATTATGATTCGATTACACTTTAAAATACAAGGACTCAGTGAGCTCAGTGATTCAGAGACAGCATGTGGCAAATTGTCAAAACCTTTGCATCTGCTTTGATGTGATAATTCATGTTTGACTTAAGAATGTAAAATACAAGTGTTAATCCAATAGTGAAAAAGTGACTTAAAACTAATTTCTTAACTTCCTTATCTGTGTGAGACCTCAATTTGAATAACTGTTATTGAAATACTGGTTTTTCTTATTTAGTGTTTTGGACATAAAATATAAATAATAACTAACATTATTGCTACATGTTCCTACAGATGAAAATGATAATATTGAGATAGATACTAACGAGGAGATTCCTGAAGGCTTTGTTGTAGGAGGTGGAGATGAACTTACTAACTTAGAAAGTGACCTTGATTCGCCCGGTAATTTCAAATTGTTTTGTGTCCTGCTGCATGGCAAAATTTGTGGTTATATTTTCATTATCTCAATAATACTAGGTCCATTTTATAGTTTTATTATGTTTTATATGATAAGTCATTTAGCTAAATCTACCTTCCATTAATTTTACATTATTTTGTTTTAAGTTGAATGTTAAAATAGAAATAACATTAGAATAACAAATTATAGCTTATGTTCTCTTATTACCAAGATTCACTGTTATGTTTTATATGAAACAGTTTATAAGTGTTTGATAACTGATTTTCTTTCCTTCTTAAATATTTTGGTGTGCTGTTATATGATATATATGGAATAATCCAAATGTAAATCTAAAACATAGATCAGATTTTTCTGACAATTGCGAATTGATAGTTCTTGTTATAATATTGTTTTGAAAATGTTATGCTTACTTTAAATGTTTAAATATATTACTAATTAATTACTTTATACATACTTAATTGACTACAATACGACACTGAAAACTAATCATGTAGACTACTACTAAATTAATCTCATCAGTAAGTCAGTGGCAATTGATCTTTGTAAGTTCTTGTTTCAAATACAAAAATAAGTTCTAATGGTTTCTAATAGGTTAGTGTTCTATCTGCATTGCCTTTATAAGCCAGCAGCAAGTAACAATCCAAAACTTTGTATACTCAAGGGTTTCCATAAATACTTATTGAATTGAATTCTTATGGCAAAAAAAAAAAAAAAAACTCTTTGGTAATATCTTTAGATTTAAAGATGAGGAGACAAAGTCCTTGATTATTATCTTTCCTATAAAAGCTAAAGGGAATGACAGCAGGCATTCTTTTTCCCACCTTTAGCATGCCTCTGCAAAGCTTACCTGCTCCTTCCCCTGTTTGAAATCATGCTATTACTTTTCCAAGAAACATTTGACCAGGATTTTCCTAACTGTAAGGAGCACTTGAGATGATCCAGGCCCTTTTGTCAGAAGCTCTTTCATGGCCCAGTATTAAATGATGTTATTGCTAGATAGAGGTCAGTATGTTTATAATTGTGCAAGTCCAAGAGAATTCTGATATTTTAAGGATATTTTTCAAATGTTTAACCCAAAATTAGAATGACCTTTTACTTCTTTGTTAACTACTGTAGAAGTTGGGTAGGTTTGATTGTTGCTTTATGAAAACACTTTTGTTGTTGTTTGCCTACCCTACTATTACAACTACCACCAAAGGCTTTATTAGAAACTAATAATATCCCCGAACTGCTAATGACATCCGTAAGTACAGAATCAAAGCCTTAACAGTCAATGTGTGGAAATGTAAAATTAATGCCAATAAGTAATGCACGTCTTTATTTTACAATAGATTATGAAGATAGGAAAAATTAACCATCTCTTAAATAAAGTGAGGAGAATTTATAGTTTCAGCTATTACAACTTTGTGGGATACTTTTTGCAACCTGGTTAATTTCAATCCTAACAGTCTTGACCCTTGCATTCTCAAAAGGGTCTCTTCCAGCCAGGCACAGTGGCTCATATCTATAATCCCAGCAACTTGAGAGGGTAAGGCAAGAGGATTGCAAGTTCAAGGCCAGCCTTAGCAATTTAATGAGACCCTGTCTCAAAATAAAAAATAAAAAGGACTGGGGATAAAACTCAGTGGTAGAGTACCCTTGGGTTCAATCCCCAATACCAGAGTAGGGCAAAATTCTCTTCCTACTTTATGCCAAAAAAGAAAACACATCTCAATCCTCTTGTTTAGACTTAATTAATATATTGTTTACAGCTCTTAAGCATTCTGATAAGTATTGGCATGTGCTTCCCAGTTGAGATCTGTGGTTTATTTTATGGCAATAAGAAATAGGAATGCAACCTAGAATCTAGAAGTGTGTAGAGTATATTATGATTTTTATCCTTGCTTTTTTCCCCAAAATTCTTTTCTTAACTTGTATATAAAAATCATAGTGTTTTAATAATAAATTGCTTAATCTTTATCTTGATTTGACCGTAGTTCATCAGATATTGTTTAAAAAAGAAGCCTGGTAATATAAACTTACCAATTTGCATGAAAGTATGATAATAGCATTTATTAAGAGTATTATAATTAGAAAAGTTATTAATCTGTATGAAAAATATCACTCATCAAATGGTCGACATTTCTTTTACAACCATTTTATTAAAGAATTGTTTTGTGTGACTTTGTCAGAATAGAAATATTTGTGTTTCTACTGAACTATTTCATTATTAAAGATTAATGTAATTATCAATAATAATTTGAAATTGCTTAAGCTTCTATCTATATTTAATACATTCCAGAAATGACAATATTTGTTATATTTCTGCCATCTAAGTAGAAGGTATTTTTAAACATATTCCCTGTGTTAATGCTGGGTATGTATGTACACACTTAAATATTATATTCTAACAGTGTGTATGTGACTGGGATCATGTTAAAAACTTATTTTAATATGATATTATATGTATACATGTAATATATTTTAAAGAAATAGTAAAATCATATAATTTAAAATCAAATGTATCTCTTCTTTGAAATATCTAGTTTGTTATTTTTATTGTATATAATCTATACAGTTACTTATATATGTATCACATATACCTTAAGTTTTCAGGTAAGCATAGCTATTAAACTGTAGTATAACTTAGGTATCCTTAGATATGTTGACTATATTCCTTAAGGGAAATGATTCGTGAGAGTGAAGTGTGTATGTGTGTGTGTGTATACACACACACACACACACACACTCACACACAGAGGTCTGCATGTGTCTAGTGTGATGTGTTACCTTGCACCCCTAATGTCCTTTTTCTTTTTTTTTTTTTTTTAATACAGTAATGTTTTTATGCTGTCACCTAAAGTTGGTAGCCTACACATCTAAATACATCTCATTTGTTATTCATGATCTTTGCATATTTAACAGAACAAAATAGTAAATTGGTGGACTTGAAGCTGAAGAAGCTCCTAGAAGCTCAACCACAGGTGGCAAATTCATTCTCCAATGCTGCCCAGAAAGCTGGAACTGAGAGCTCAGAACAAGAAATTAAGGTAATCTTACTTATTTAATATTTGGCTTAATATCCATATATTCTGGTTTCTACTGATACCTTATAATCCTAAAAACAATTTCTTATCAAATTGTTCTCATTAAGTTATAAAAATTTTTACTAACTAGACAATAAATTGAACATCAATATGATAATCAGTGCTTTTATACTGTTTTTCAGAGAAACTCCTTCTTTTAATTGCTATTTCCAGTAAAAGTAGAGAGTACATAGAAACAGTTCTTGAGTTCTGTATGTATTCATATTTTGCTAAGAAAAATGTTGCCTAGAAGATTGTAGAATACTTTTCTATCATCTTCAACTTTCCTTCTGTTTAAATGAACTAGAATTTACATTATTTATAAGAATCCATCATACCTGAAGATGCTGACATGTATTGAATGTGTTTAAGATACTTACATATGTTTTGTGCCATTTTTGAATCTTACTTAATATTGCATTTTAGCCAAAATGCCACATTATAAGAATATTGTTATTATCTATATTATCCCCATCCACACATTCCCTCCTTTTCCTCACAATGTATCATTAATATTTTTTTCTAGCTTTAGGGCACTTTCAGTCCTGTATAACTTTTCACCCACCTGCGGACTATGGGGATTGCCCTGCTGACTGAAAGGATTTCCTTCCCCTGACACAGAGATGCTTTGAAGTCCCAAAACAATGACTTTCATTGCTTTTCCCCTATATTGTCGGTTTCTATAAATTGGTGATGAAAGTGTGTGGCAGCAACAGAGGACTTTTGGTCTCTATCTTTGAACAAAAGGAAGCCTGGATCAGGTCTGATTTTTTGCGTTCAATTTAGCTTTCTGCAGTGGATTTAATGCAGAATGAAGCTGGCCTAAGAATAATACAATGGATTGAAAAGGCTAACTGAATTAGTGGGTTTAGAGGAATACATTTGTAAAGTGGCAGAAGTCCCTAGTCATAAAAAGGTTTCTTAAGATGGGATTTACTGGCTAATCACACTGATATTTTAGCATGTTGCCAGGCCTAAAAAAATTTAGCTGTGTTTGTTTATTTTGGTAAAGACTTGAGTTTTACACTATTGAATAGTTACTATAATAACAGTAAAATTCACATTTTTTCTTAAAAAAATCAAAAAGAAATCCAAACTTATTTGTATCCTAACTGCTAGGAAGGCTATTTTAAGGATGATACTACAAGAACTATATCAGATAACTTTTAGAAAAGAAAAGAGAGGTATTTTTCTTCTTATGGTTTAATCATCTACATACATGAAATTGGTTTGCTGTCCAAAAAGCTTATGTAGTAATTTTTAAAGTTGTTCCAAAAAAAAGGTATGCTTTAAAAAGATTGCCTTCATATGAATCTTTTTACCTAAGATTTTGAAAATGGTATTTATAAAAAACATATAGAGTCCATCTGTTCTCTTGAAGCTTTTCAGCATTGATTTGGGTTTTTATTTTTGTAATAAAATGCAGTTTACACATTTATAAATGAGGCATTCTGTTTGTGGAGAAGGATAAACTGTTACCTTCCCTTGAGGATTCTGTATCCCAGGCCTCCTTGAGGCTAGAGAATAGGCCATTGGAGGGCTCCCTCATTACTGATTGTCTCAATGCAGAGGAAGGGCAAAGTCTTGGTTGCTTTTGATAACCAGTTTCAGCATTCAGCAGGCTTAGCTATTAGTCATGCATCTTAGCCTTTCCCTATTTACTTTCAAAACACTTAATAAAAATAATAAAAGATTAGGTATAAAATGAAATATTTGTTTGGTACACAGCACCTCGGTATCTGCAGCTTCCACACACTGCAGTGGTTCAGTCTTCTGGGATATTTCTTGTTGATAGAACCATTTGAATTTGTTACCAGTATTAACATAGGAAGCTCCAGAAGAGATAATTGTAGTTTCCTTAGCTGTAAAGGGCTTACTTACAAATCTGGCTTTGGAAAGTTATAGCTGATGAAATGCAGTTCAGTGGGGTAGTATTATAATCCTACCTTTTAGCCTTCATCCAGCATTAGTGGTTTATCTCAATGGGCATAAAATTAGAAACTATTTTTTCTTGTCATACAAGTCTTAGGACTGTACAAATCGAAGGGGCAGAATAGTAGAGGAAATAGGAGGCAACGGGGCTTTCAAATGATACCTATCACCAGAAGACACAAGAGTTCTTAGTATCTAATGTATCAAAGTTATCAAGGATTTGGACTATTTGGACTAAATCCCAAATTTTTTATTACAGGCAGTTGAACTTGTAGTTGAGCTATTTAGAGTATTTTAAAATCCCTTTTCTTCAAAGAGTTTCTAAAGGTTCTAAGTCAGCATTATTGTCTTAAATTAATAAAAGTTGCCATCTTAATGTGTAATTTCGTGTTTATATGATTAGTACTCTCATACAATTTGTTGTTTTACTTTTAGAATGGCACAGAAGATCTCCGGACTGAGCGATTACAAAAAGCAACAGAACGTTTTAAAAATCCTGTTTTGTTCAATAAGGATTCTACAGTCAGAAAAACTCAGCTTCAGTCTTTCAGTCAATATGTTGAGAATAGACCAGGTAGGAACACTTTTTAAAATGTTTCCAATCTTATGATTTAGTAGTAGTTATACACATGCATACATATGTGTGTGTGTGTATATATATATATATATATATATATATATACATACACACACACACACACACATATTATGAAGCTGATAATGTAAATCCACATTTCAATACACAAATATCAGGCTTTATAATAATTTTACATGTCTCTTCCCTTTTTTTAAGAGATGAAAAGGCAGAGATCAATACAGGAAGATACAAAGAAAGGAAATGAGGAGAAGGCAGCGATAACTGAAACTCAGAGGAAGCCATCAGAAGATGAAGTGCTTAATGTATATTAATTTTTTGTGTGGTTTCATGATTGCTGATAATTCCAAACTGTATGTGGAAATAGTGCCTTTATTTGTTAAAATGAGATGTTAGGTTTTTTAAGATGTCAATCTCCAGTGCATTCAAAGCAGAGTGAGAGGGGTGCGCTGTTGAATTAGTCTGCAGTGTGGTGATAATTGTCAGATAAAAAAAAATGAATTTTTCAGAGTTCCACAGCCCCAGCTTCCTTGAGACATTTCCATCAGGGCACTTCCCATAAAGAGATTCCAGTATTGATCTACCGGGAGGATTTTAATTATTACAATAGCAGATACCGCAGAGCTGCAGTTAGAGGGAAAAGTCACATGAGACCTGCTAGAATTTCTCAGCCAACCCATTTTGTTGGCTTGGGTTAATGGGTGTTCAACCTTTCCATTATCCAGATCAGCCGTGAATTACTAGCTGAATGATGTTTGCATTAATATAATATATATGGTAATTTCTTCACTTAATTAACGGGGAGGTTCAGCTCAGTAGGGGTATGGGCTGATCATGTGTAAAATTGATTTGTGAGGGAAATATTTGATAGACCGCAGGGAGAAAGCTGCTTTTGATGGACAGCTGCAGGACAGAAGCAGGAAGAACAACTTTTAACTTGAATTTTTGTCTGGAAACATAGCTCTCTTTAATGGTACTTTCTTATTATCTACAGTTTGTCTAAACATTTTCATTATTTTTATTGTTAAAATAGTCTGTGGGATTTTAAAAGCCCTATAAATGCACTCAGAATTACCAACTGCATTTTAGAATTCTAAAAACTTCTCATTTTCAGTTATTCACCTTTAGAAGACCTGGAAAGGTCTAAGTACATAGAATATCACTTGTATATCCCAAGTATTTGGTATAGCTTTTAAGTTATGGAATACTTGAGTATAGCATATAAAGAAAATAGCACACTAAAGAAATCTGGTAATGAAATTAATTACTATTTTTAACTAATCAGCTAAAGCAATGAAGTTTGTATGTTGCTTATCACTTCTATTTTCTTATATTTTTGTTATTCGTATTGTCTTGAAAAACTACCATGTTTGTTTTTTCTCTTTGGATAGGATTGAAAAATAAGAAAAGTCCCTTTTGAAACTGTTTTGCTATCACCAAATCATTCCAGACTTTAAAGTTATCATTATCATTTATTCTGTTGTAATTTTTCTATTCCATTTCATATTGAAATTGAAGTATATTCATTTTTTATGGATCTTTTTAAAACAGTGACTTTTTTAAATGAAATTATCTTGAGAAGTTATCAGTTTTATGATTTCTTAAAATATTTCACCTTTATATTGGTCAACTCCCATAATCAATTTAACAATTAGTTGGTATAAATTGATTTTACATGTAAGTACAAATAATTTACTAGTTTAGAAGGTGTCAAGCTATTATTAGCGTTAGATATGTTTATTGATTATGAGAATTACACAATATTCTCATAATTAACATAATTCTTGATTGTGCTTCTTGCTTAAGGAATACCAAAAGATAATTTCTCATTGTGTCTTAGAGATTAATATGCTTCTAGGCATGTGACAGAAGATTTTACACATTTATCTCAATGAATAAATAATGTTATAAGTGCTGATAATAACAGTGGTGGTAGTGAGCATAATGACTTAAGCAGTTCTTTAGTTATTCTCAGTTGCTTAGGCTTCTTAGCTCTAGAAAAGTAAAAAAGTAAACAGGTGTTCCAAAGGGAGCTCATATTTAATCCATTTTGTGGCAATACCATAAATAATAATCCAACCCATAATGACTTAAATTTCTAATATAAAAATAAAAATTTTTACTATATTGACTCTTTCCAATAGAGCTGCTATATTTCAAATAAAACTTTTAAGAAAAAAATTTTAACATGAATGGAAAAGTAAATTTTTGAATTGAAATCCAAATTTGGCTAAATAGAAGATTAATCAAATCAGTATACTAGTTGCATTAAACCCTGTGTAGCAAGGTTTGAAACCACCTGTCAGGTTAGAATTTATAGCTTATAAGAATTAGTAACAATCAAGAGAATGACATGTTTAAATACAGAAGCTATTGGCAGGAAAACTGGAGATACTGCATCTTCTTTTATCATGTTTTAAAATTATAGTCCCAATAAAAGCAAAACAAAAATCTTTTTAATTTTATGTTTTATAGAGCAACTCTGGTTTCTCTCAGAATGATTATTTTAAAGATCAATTTTTTAGTAAAGCTCTATTTTTGCATATTACATTTTTTTTCCTCTTCTTTTCTTTAGTAGTCACCAAAGGGAAAATTCTCTGCTGTCCTTGTCCATTCCTAAATAATTCTGACTTAACTCTAAGGATAATTTTTAAACTTAGTATTCACTTTTTAAATCTTGCAACTCTGGGTGTGAAATTATAAGTATAATACTAAACAGCTAAAATGTTCTCTGTTTACAAAAGTTTGGTATATATAACACATGAAAAATTGCTAAATCACAGGGATGGAGTTGCTTTTTGCTACTAAGGGGTAATACTATGGGTATATTTGGTTCTCTAGGTAAGTGCTTTACTAAGTGTTTGTAGAAAGGAAAAATGCAACTTACAAGTGATTTTTTTTTTCCTTCCTGTTTGTTCTCGTTAACAGAAAGGGTTCAAAGACACCAGTCAGTATGTTGTAGGAGAATTGGCAGCACTAGAGAATGAGCAAAAGCAAATTGACACCCGTGCCGCGCTGGTGGAGAAGCGCCTTCGCTATCTCATGGACACAG